TGAGATTAAAGAAATAATTAGTCTCCCATTAAAGAAAAGCCTTGGGGTCAGACACCGTGGCACATCCCTGTAATACCAGCACTTTGGAAGGTCGAGGCCAGTGGAGCACTTGAGGTCAGGAGTTTGAAATCAGCCTGACCAACATGATGAAACACTGTTTCAACTAAAAATACAAAAAATAGCTGGGGATGGTGGCACACCTGTAATCCTGGCTACTCAGGAGGCTGAGGCAGGAGAATTGCTTCAAGCCAGAATTCAAAGCATGGAATGAGCCCAGACTATGCCACCACACTCCAACCTGTGTGACAGAGCAAGACTCCATTTCAAAAAAAGAAAAAAAGCTTAGAACTTGAGACTTCACTGTTAATTCCACCAAATATTTCAAGGAGAACTAATAACAATTGTACTCAAACTACGGGAAAAAACTAAAGAGAAAGGAATATTACAGACTCATTCTATGAAGCCAATATAATGCTGATACCAAAACCAGATGAGGACACGACACACAAAAGAAATTATAGACCAATAACTCTGACGGACAGATATGTAAAAATATTCCACCAAATACTAGCAAAGCAAATATAACAAGAGGATAAAATGGTCATTTATCATGATCAAGTAAAACTTATCCCAAGGATGCACGGATGGCTCAATGTATGCAAATTAATACATGTAGTACATCACATTAACAGAATCAAGAGTAAAAATCGCATGACAATTTAAATACATGCTGAAAAACATTTGCTAATATTTAATATACCTTTATGATAAATATTGTCAACAAACTGGATATAGAAAAACATAACTCAAAACAATAAAGACCACAGCCAACATCATACTGAATGGGAAAAAATGCAAAGCCTTTCATCTAAGATTTAAAACAAGACAAAAATGTCCACTTGTACTGCTTTTATACAACATAGTACTGAAAGTTCTAGTCAGAGCAATTAGGCAAGAGAAAGATAAAGGGCATTCAAATTGGAAAGGAAGGAGTCAAATTATCCTTCTTTGCAGATGACATGATCCTATACCTACAAAAACTAAAAAACTCCACCAAAAACTGCTAGAATGGATAAATGAATTCAGAAAAACTTCAGGATATAATATCAACATACACAAATCAGTAGCATTTCTATATGTCAATAGTAAACAATCTGAAAAAGAAATCAAGAAAATAGTCTCATTTGTAATAGCTACAAAACAAATTAAATACCCAGGAATTTTTTTTAACTTTTAGGTTCAGGGGTACATGTGCAGGTTTAGGTAAACTCAGGCCATGGGAGTAAAGATTATTTCATCACCCAGGTACTAAGGCTAGTACCCAATAATTATTGTTTCTGATCCTCTCCCTTCTCCACCCTCTACCCTCCCCACCCTCAGGCAGGCACCAGCATCTGTTGTTCCCCTCTTTGTGTCCATGTGTTCTCATCATTTAGCTCCCACTTGTAAGTGAAAATATGTGGTATTTGGTTTTCTGTTAAGAATATATTTAAGCAAAGAAGTAAAAGATCTCTGTAATAAAAAAAAACTATAAAACACCAATGAAAAAATTGAAGAGAACACACAAAAAATAGAAAGATATTTTGTGCTTATGAATTGGAAGAATTAATATTTTTTAAATGTCCATACTACCCGAAGTGGTATGCAATGCAATCCCTATCAAAATTCCAGGAATATTTTCCCCAGAAATAGAAAAAAAACCCTAGAAAGTATAAAGTATATAAAACCTCAAAAGACCCCAAATAGTCAAGGCAATAGAGAGCAAAAAGAACAAAGCTGGAAGCACCACCCTACAAAATTTCAAATATACTACAAAGTTAAAGTAATAAATACAGCATGATATGGGTATAAAGACACACACATAGACCGATGGAACAAAATATAGAATCTGGAAATAAATCCATGCATTTACAGACAAATAATTTTTGACACAAATGCAATAGGGAAAGGACATTCTCTTCAATTAGTGGTAATGGGAAAATTGACTATCCATACATAGAAGAATGAATCTAGACCTACATCCATCATCATATACAAAAGTGAACTCAAAATGGATTAAAGACTTAAATGAAAGACATGAAACTGAAAATACTTGAAGAAAACACAGAAGAAATGTGTTAGGACACAGGTCTGAGCAAATATTTTTGTATAGGACCTCAAAATCACAGGCATCAAAACAAAAATAGAGTTCTATTAATCTAAAAATCTTCTGCACAGCAAAAAAAAAAAAAAATCATGGTGAAGGTGAAAGGGCAACCTATGCAATAGGATAGAATATCTGCAAACTATCCACCTAATGACAGATTAATAACCAGAGTACATAAGGAACTCAAATAACTCAATAGCTAAAATCACAAATTATCCTACTAAAAATGGGGAAATGATCTGAATAAACATTTTACAAAAGATGATATACAAATGGCCAACAGGCATATGAACAAAATGCTCAACATAACAAATCATCGGGGAAATAGAAATCGAAACCACAATAATGTATTTTCTCACCTCAATTAGAATAACCATTATCAAAAAGACAAAAATTAACAAATGCTGGAGAAGATGGGAAGAAAGGGGAACACTAGTATATTGCTGGTGGAAATGTAAATTAGTACAGCCATAGGAAAAATAGTATAAAGATTCCTCAAACAACTAAAAATAAGTAAACCATATGATTCAGCAATCCCACTGCTGGGTATATATCTTAAAGAAAGGAAATAGGTATATAGAAGACATAACTGCAATCACGTTTATTGTAGAACTATTCACAATAGCCAAGATATGAAAGTGTCCAGCAGTGAAAGAGTGGTTAAGGAAATGTGGTGTATATATGCAATGGAATAGTATTTAGCCATGAAAAAGAATTAAATTCTGTCATTTGCAGCAACACAGTTTATAGAGTATCGTAATGGTTAACAGAGGCAGAGAAGAATAGAGGGGAGAAAGAGAGAAAAGAAATTGGTTAATGGGTTAAAAAATACAATTAAGTAGAAGTAATAAAGTTATAGTTTTCTAGTCACCAAAGGGTGGTTATATTTATAAAGAATTCATCTTTATTTCAAAATAGCAAAAAAGAATATTTAGACTCTTCCAACACAAAGATATAATAAGTAATTGAGCTGATAGATACTTCAACTGTCCTGATTTGATGGTTACACAGTGTGGGACAAAGTGTTACCTCCAAAAAAGTGTAATTATTTGGTACCAATAAAACTAATGGATGAAAAAGATTGGAAAATATGATTATCATGACATAAATTTGGTTTTATAGCATCTTAAATTTATATTGAAAATGTTCTTTACCTTTGTAATAGTTCCTTTATAAAGGTTTCCCTCATTTTTCTAAATGCTTACTGAATACAGTAACATTTCTTATTTATCTTTTCACAAATCAGATAGCTAATATGTGCTTTTGATGTTATTTATGTATACATTTATACATTTCATACAAGAATATTTTCAGGAAAATCATAACAATTATTGGATCCACAATTATATGATTATTCAAAGAAATTATTATCAAGGATTTCCACTAAATTATTTTGGAGTTGTATATTATTCTTTAATCAACAGTATGTCATGTCTGATATATAAGAACCATTAACATTTTAATTGTCATTGGCACAGTTGAATTCAAGTATTAATAAGTGATTAAGACAAGGGAATTTTTCTCTGCCTAAGAGGACTTCCCCTCCACACACTTAGCTTTTCATTAAGCTTCCTTATGATGGTAATGTATGTATAGGTAAGTGGTACTGACTTGACATGATTATTTATCGTTTACTCTATTTTTTAAAAAGTCATCTACTATTGGCTGTTCAATGTTCTAGGATATAGCAGTAGCAGAAGACTGACAAGGAGTCTGCTTTCATTGATCTTAAATTTTAATGAAAGTAATAGGAAGAATGAAAATAGACAAATAAGTGAAATAAAGCATACAGTGATAAGTGTATAGAGAAAATAAAACATAAATGTGATAGAGGTTGACTGCAGTAGTATACAACATTACTCAGAGGAGTCAGGAAAGATCACTCATGAGGTGACACTTGTGCTAAAATATAAGTAACGAAGTTCTCAGTCATGTGAAAATCTAGAGGAAGGGCTCTCCAGGGTAAAGCAACTGTAGAGATTGTGATGACAGAATGAGTTTAGTTTATTTGCAGAACTAAAAGGGAGTATGGCTAGAGAATTAAATGAAGGGAAAAGAGCTAGAAGAGATAGCAAAGGAAGCAAGGGCCCTATCTTTAGTAGCAATTTCCTTGTGTCTTATGCTAGGTTGTGTTATTCAAAAAAAAAAGCAGCTATCTGGAACTAATGAATATTACTAGGAGATTACCTATGAATTATTTTTATTAATTTTTCCAATTTTCCTCAAATATAGCTCTAATATCTATTCCTTGTGGAAACTTTAGCAAATAGAGGACTCTATAAAAATTAAAATTATCTTAAATTCCAAACCTACAAGTAACCATTATGAGAATTTTTCTTTAATGCTTACTTTTCATAGGTGTGTCACCAGATGTGAGCAAACTCTTTTGTAAAGGGCTAAATACCAGATATTTTAGGCTTTATGGTTCATATGATCTCTGTCTACACTACTCGACTCTGCTGTTGTACCTTGCTATCAGCCATAGACAATATGTAAATGAGGAGTCTTGATTGTGTTTCCAATAAGACTTTATTTGTAGATACTGAAATTTGAACTTCAGATAATTTTCATGTACCATGAAATATTATTATTTTGACATATTTCAGCATTTAAAGATTTTAAAGATCATTTTTATCTAGTGAGTTGTACAAAAATAGGCTTCAGGCCAGATTTGGTCAGAGCCATACCAAGTTGACTCTTAGTTTAGGCACATAGATGCAGATATAGCTATATCCCTCTATTTACATATCTGTTCATGGTATAAGCAATTAGTAATATTAATAAAAATTTATACCACACAATCTATACCTGTTTAAGACACTTCTAATTCTCACTAATATTTGTCTCATTCCAGGAACAAAAAAAAGAGAATTTTCTACCACTTTTGCCATTATCCAGAACCACATGGCTAGTTGAGATTATTGGTTCAAGACATTGAAGATGGGTGAGTGAAACCTGAAGTCTCAGGTTGAGCTACCAGGGACACTACGTGGAAGCAGACTGAGGCCCTGAGCCACGATTTGCCATGGAGTGCTACTGAATCCACAGTATATTTTGCATGAACAATAATTGAATGTTTATTTTTAAACCACTGAAATTGTGACATTTATTACTGAGCAGAACCTACTCTAACTAATACGATACTTCTTTTTTGTATTTACCCTTTAATAATATATTCTGAAAACATCTTTGGAAATTGCATCTTTATGACAATATAACTTTTAATTCTGTAAGGATCCATTATAATGGATTTAACCAATGACATCACCAGTTTTCAGAAGAGTTATTTTCCAATTTTGTCCAATATAAGTTTGGCTGTGTGAAAAGATGAGAAATATTAATATTTTATTATCATTTATATATGATGGATTCTGGAAGTGTAGTCATTGGGCTAAAAGTGTTAAATACTTTAAACATTATTGATGTGTATTCCCTAGTTATTCATCCTGAAGTTTGTGGCATTTAAAACTCTTGCTGGCCATACATGTTCCAAAACCATTTCATTAACATTTTGCGATTGGTTTTTTTAACCTTGTTAGATATGATATGGAAAATGATACTTTTTTGTAATAATTTGCATTTTTCAACTAGTAAGGTTGAATAATTTTACATGTTTCTTGGCCTCTTGAATTTCCCTTTTAAATTCATATTTTGTTCACATACTTCACTCATTCTTTCATTGACATATTCATCTATTGCTTCCTTGTTGATAAAATTCCCTTTTTAAAAAAATTAAGAATGTTGTTTATTTACCCTTTGCCCTATCTGCTGTATTTACTATTCTAGATTTCATTTGCCTGTTATTTTACTTACTGTTAACGTTTTTCTGCATATGTAGATTTTTAAACTTGTTTTAAGTCTTTCTTTTCCTTATGATTACTTCCATTTGCACAATATTCTTTCCCATCCCAAGACAGATTCATATTTGCTAATATTTTACTTTTGTTCTTTTATCAGCATATTTTTAGTGTTTGTGATAGGCAGAATTATGGCCTCCCAAAAGTGTCTGCACCTTAATTCACAGAACCTATAAATATGATATCTCATCTGGCAAAGGATACTTTGCAGATGTGAATAAATTAAGTATATTAAAATTGAGAAATTATCCTGGATTATCAATATGTGTCTAATATAATTATAGGTGTCCATATAAGAGGGAGGTAAAAGGTTCAAAGTCAGAAAAAGAGATGTGATGATGGAAGAAGAAGTGAGCATGATGGAGCCACTAGCCAAGGCATGCAAGCAGCCTCTAGAAGATGAAAAAAGCAAGGGACAGATTCTCCTCCAGAGCCTTCAGAAGGAATGTAGCTCTGCCACCACCTTGAATGGCCTTGTGAGATCTGTTTTGAACTTACAACATTCTAAAAGATAATAAATTTGTGTTATTTTAAGCCACTAAGTATGTGATATCTAGTTACAGTGGCAATAGGAAACTAATACTATTTAATTGCCTTGTAAATTATATTTTACATGTAAAAATTAGATTTATTTTTTAAAGCTAGAAAAAAGCAAGAAGCTCATAATAGCTTATTGTATCTGGAGAACAATAAACATCCTAAGAAGGCTTGAGTGACTGTTAAGGGTATGATTTTAGTAATAATAATGATAAGAATTTTGATGTTCTGGGATGTCTTTTACCAGCAGCCCATTTAGTCTGGTTTATGCACTTTAAATTTAGTAATAGTTAATAGAGAAAAGGAAAATATGCTTAGATTACCCCATCCAGTTAAGTTCAAATCCATTTTAACATAGAGTATAGTCATGTGCAGCTTAATGACAGGAATATTTTCTGAGAAATGCCTCATTAGCCAATTTCATCACTGTGCAAACATCACAATGCGCTCTTACACAAATCTAGATTGCATAGCCTACCTCACATGTAGAGTTAACCTATTGCTCCTAGGCTACAAACCTGAACAGTGTGTTATCTGTACTAAATATGATTGAGAATTGTCACAATGTAAGTTTTTGTGTATATAAATACATCTAAACATAGAAAAGGTGAAATAAAAATATGACATTATCTTATGAGACTACCATCATCAAGGAGGTCCATCATTGACTGAAATGTCATTATGCAGTGCATGACTGTACTCTCAACTGGGGCCATAATGGGGGTAACCTGGTTTTCTAGAATTCTCTCAGCATCCTTCTGTTTGACTGCCAGCTATGTATCTCTCTGCCAAAGGTTACCTATAAAAGGATCTAGACGTATCAAGCAATAACATTGCAGCAATACTATAAATACATTTTAAAGCTCAATGTTTTTTATTTTATGATATCTGATGACAATATTGGAAATTAAAAAGGTTACTGCTACTGTCTTAACATCTGTACATTTCAACTATCCTATTTGAACATGGTATTTTTACCTTCTATGTCATGCTTTTTGTGTGTGTGCATCCATTCTTCTCTTACTTATAGACCCAGTAAAAGGAAATATTCTTTCTCAGCAAGAGAATCTGTGTGCAGTGGACAAGTGGATGTCTCTAACTGAAGTGCTTGCTTTGAATCTTCCTCCATTACTTAATCAGTCTGTGACTCTAAGCAATGTACTTATTCTCTCTGAGCCTTGATTTCCTCTTCTGTAAAAAAGAGAAAATAATAGGACCTATGTTATGAGAATACTTTGAGGATTAAATTACCTAATAAGTGTAAAATATTTGAACAGTGTCAAACTCAATGTCCATACCCATTTAATTTTGATTATTTATTCTTTTTCCTCATGCCTATTTCAAAACTCATCTACACAAGCTACACTTCAATGCCCAAACTAGCGATAATTCAAAACTTATTTCTGGCCACCACATATCACAATGCTCTTTCCATTCCTGGATTTCTATAGATTCTACATTAAAAAGCAAATTTTTAATCTCATTGGATTCATAATAACCGTTAAATATTTAGTGTAAATTATTTACATATTTTGTTCAACAAATATATGTGTAATAATTGTTGGGTTAGCTCTGGATATCTGTTGCTCCATTTTGTCATATGTAGAGTAGGAATACTAATAGTACTCCTAGACTTACTGTGAAAAATAAATGAGTTTATGTGTATAAAATCCTTGGAAGAATACCTGACACATAGGAAGCACTAAAGAAATATTAGTTTTTACTAGAATTATTATTGTATGCCAAAAGCTATCAAATTATTAAACATTACAAAAAGACTATACTGTACATTTCTTAAAAAGACCTATTGCCTGTGCCTTCCTTACACCCCATTGTAAGTTTTCAATAGATATCAAGTCAGTGAGGGAAAAACACAAAAATGAATTGTGAAAATTTAGTATTTTAGCCTAGACTCATTTCAGGAGCAATTTGATGTGTGATTAGACATGAATGTCTATGTAGTTCAAAAGAAAGAAGAAGGAATGAACAAACACCCTGCTTTTTCTCTGCATCCAACTAGTTGAGAAATTTTGGCTACTTTACCATAAAGGTAATAGAAACAAAAATAATAAAAGCAATAACAAATGATCTATACAAGCAAATAGCTAGAAACAATGAGAAAAAGCATAGGATTATACACTGTTAATTTGTGTGTTTATGTTAATGCTCTGAAAATAAGAAAAAGGAATTGTGATAGAGGAATGTATAGGATGTGTGTGTAAGAAGTAATTTAGCTTGTAAAATATGAAAGAAGTTCTCTTTTTTTATAATGCTATGGCAAAACCAGAAATTTCTCAAAAGCTGAGAAATTTGGCAGGAGTATAATTTGGGAAGAGGCCAGAAAGGAAGTTTCTGGAGATACCAAAGGATATCTCTAAAGCACATGCTAATTATCAGTGCCCACACTAATTATTTTTACATGAAATTTCCTCTGGAAGGTTTGCTCCTTTTTTGATATATCTGCCAGTCGGAAGGGGAAAAAGAGAGCTATCCAGCAACTGGGAAGTTCCCATTGATACATATCCCAATTTATATAGATTCTTTTGTGTTGACAGTTTGGTTATCTGAGTAAATTATTTTTAACATCATTCATTCTTTCATTAGTTTATTTATTCAACAAGCATTGATTGAGCACTACTGTATGACAGATACTGTGTCAGAGATCCCAGAAATGTGTCTGTGACTAATAATAATTTTTATTCTATTAATCATATTAGAATATTTTGAATATATTTATAATAATTTATTAGAATAATATCTAATAATTATTCTAATAATTATAGTGAACTTTGTTGTGAACTTTACGAAGTATTTACTGTGACTAAGATGTGGAATTGTTCTAAGTAATTAAATCTCACAAACAAAAATTTATATGGCAAATGCTAATAATATACTGGATTTACAGATGGGGAAATGAGGCACAGAGGGGTGAGCAATTTTGAGGCCATGCACTAGTAAAGGTGGCAGATGGCATAACTCTAATCTGTGCCCTTAGTCACCATGCTGATGATGTCTCTGAGCTGATCTTGTGATCTCAGAAACTTATAGAAACTGGCACAGGGAAACTGATAGTTACAATAACGTGTGACAAAAGCAGTTGTGGGGTAAACATGAAGTGATGTGGGAGCAAATAAGAAAAGTGTCCCACTCAGGAAATCAGAGTACACCTAACCTAAAGCCTGAAGTATAAAGTGGAGTTAGTGGGATACTGAGATGAAAATCAAAATGTTTCAGGAAGTGGATACAGCCTGAGGACACCAAGGTGGGGGAAGAGAAGATCTCCTCCATTTGACAAAGGAAATCAAGTTCACTAAACCTGGAGGAGATAGATAATGAGCATGAGCTCAATGATATAAGAAAACTCATTCTTAGAGCCAAGATGCTAAAAGTGCAGACTCAGTTCTTCTCTTACAATTCTTTCTAACAAAGTGATGTCTGACTTGCCTTCTAAAACCCTACTTGTAACAAAAAGTGCAAGCATATTTAAATGGATTAATTTTTGCCAGACAGAAACATTCATTCCTAAGTGCCAAGCAGATTTAATGGAAAACCTGTATCTTAGTCCCAGTTTTTTAACTTTGGAAAATTCTCTTGCTTGATTTCTCTTATAGTCAGAAGCAGATAATCTCTTCTTTGAAAACATTCATGAAGAAATTTGTTGGCCAATTTTAGAGCTAAATGAATTAACTTATAATGGTGAATGGAGGATGAGATGTAAGAACAGGAAGAATTTAGGATTAAGGGAATGAAGCTTAGATACTCTTTCGAGATGTTGAAGGATGACAGAAAAAGTTAAAAGTGATATGACGAATGATTTTTAAAGTGACTGAGTAAAGGCAAGGCTTTCAAGAAGAAAGTCAATATTTTATAAGGCAGCAGAAACATTTTGTGGAGAAAGCAAGGGCAGAAAAACAAAGGGGAGGAAATGGAAGCTAAAATAGCAAAAATCAAAATACAAGTGAGAGAATTCACTATATCATGAAGACAAAAAGTGTAAGGGAAATGTCAGACAAGAAAATGAAAACATAGAATAAGCAGGGTTGAGAAGATGAAGAGTAGATTTAAACACTAAAAATAGACAATAAGATGGCACAGAAAAAGAAAAGGATCTTTAAGGAATAAAATTATATGTCATATAAAGCAGAAGTAATGGGTAGCAATGGCAAGGATTAATCAAAAGGTTAAAAATTGTTCCATAGCACATATATAATCTCAAAAATTGAGCAGATTGATTAAAGTAAAATTTGTTGTTTTTTGGGGAGGGTTTGATATTTATTTGATGGTATTCTGCTGAGTCTTTCAGCCCCTTAAAAAAGAATTCTAAGAAAGTCATTGAATTAAAATATATAGATAAAAGGTAAAATGTTATAACAAGGAAACTTACTTATAATAATTAAAAGGGAAAGAGAAAAATTACTAGAATCTGGAGATCACTAACATGAACACAGATTACAAGACTTATCCAGGCATCTTGCTGAAAAGGTTGGCAAGCTTTGCAGAAGGCATGACACGCAGGGCAAATGACATGCCAGAGAACCAAAAATAGCTGATTGTGAATTTCAGAGGCAATCCAAAACAAGCCAAAATGAGGAGGTAAGAGAATTATTAACTAGTTTATTCAAAAATATGGCTTTGATAACTAAACATTAATAATTTTCTTTCCTTAAATCTGGATCCAAAATAGTGGATCTAGATTTGCCAGATAAGCTGCTGAAATAAGTGGAGATGTTATGTATCAAAGTGACCTGCATTCTAACAGTCAATGGGTGCAGGAAGAAATAAATTCATATGAGAAGGAGAGTGAGGCAATCTATCCATATAGTTCACAGTCCATTATTTTCATGTGTTTTCTGTAGATCGTCTCAAAAGAAATAACAAATCTGAGAGAAGACAAATGAACACAATTAAAAAAAGAGATGCTATCATAGGTTAATAAACACAGGCACCTAACATCATTTTGACAATAGCATATGAGCCAAAAGATGAGAATATTTAAAATATATAAAGAGTACCCCAGGAAAGATGCAGCAAAACACAGGTCTACGAAATGAGAGACAGGCAGATCTGATCATATTGAAGATATCAATGTGCAGCCTGGGCCACTGGCAGTGTTTGAGTTGCTCTGGACAGAAGATGCAAATAACATTAGTGCAATGAAAATGAGAGACCAGAATATGAAAATAGACATAGGGGATTTGAAAATTATTAGAAAGCAGAGTATGTATAATTAAGCATTGCTTAATGCCAATTTAAGCACATTCCCGCTCCTCACAACTGCACGCAGCTCCCTCGTTGAGTCATTTTAAAGTTCTCATGGAACAACAGGGCAAGAACACTGAATTGGAGGCTCTGTAGTTATTTCTCATGAAAAGATGAAATGGTCTCATGAGAATGGTCAATATCCAAGTTTTTGTCAGTTAATATTTTGGTCTTTCAAATGTATGAAGGCAGAAAGTGGCAAACACTGGGAGAGATATTGAGGCACTATAGGAAAGCACCAACTTTGGAAATCACAGACCCCCTCTGAAATCAGGCTTTAAAATCACCATATGTAAGCCAAGTCCAGTTTCTTACCCAACTGGAATCTCTGTTTTCTCTTCATATATAAAAAAAGGGTAGCATTAGCATGCATATATAAGTGCATAATAATGTATGCATGCATTATATACATATTACAAACACACACACACACACACACATATATATGCTGCCTAAAGTTGTGGTGTAACATAAATGCACGTCAGTGCTCTAATATTTTTGTAGATTTTCGGATAAGTAGCATTTTAATATGTAAATGCTCAGAAAGGGGGAGAAAAACAAATTGAAATAATAAGGCCAACTGAAGAATCTGAGGTTAAGGGCTTCAGAAATGTCTCTATGTAGCTATTAAATGTTATTATGCCCAGAATGTTTCACATACAAATAAACAAAAAAACACTACCTCCCAAGCATGAGAAATTTGAGAATAGACAAAGGGACATACAGAAGGGATTTTATTCCATTTCGTTATGGAGGAGATGGGAGATAGGATGGAACTTCCACTTGCAATTATAGTATTTATGGAGCATTATCAAAAGAAAATTTTAGAGAGCAAACGATGGTGACAAAGGCTTCTGAGATAGCAGAAAGAGTGAAATATTAATTCATAATTATATTAATTATAAATATTAATTCTAAATTTATAAATTTAGCACATATTTACTGAGCTAGGCATTGTGAGATAAAAGAAGAAATAACTGGAAAAAAAAATCACACAGAACAAAAGTAAGAGTATGACACACATTTGTTTGCATTATGTTAAGTTATAATATGCTTGATGATTATAGCAAGATAAAAAACCATATAAAGAAAATTAGGGCACTATATGTCTTTTACAGCCTTCTGCAAGAATAGCTGGTCCAATTTTCACACACTTGAGGGAATGGTATAGATGTTCTGACTCAATTTATAAGTTGCAGTTGAGGAAAAGGAAGGGAGACGCCTATGATTTGCCCTTCAATTG